CTCCAACCATAATCTTGCTTCAACTGTCCTGGAGTGTCTCATCCACATTAGCCAATTTCTGGCAGGACCACAGGAGAGCCAGGACTTTGGCCCCTGTGTTCTGCCAGCCACTGCTGCACCACAGTGTGTTCTGAGCATGTAATTATTTCACTGCCCAGTGGCATGGGCCCTTGCCATGAGCTCCTGTTTGCCAAGTTGTTAATAGATGGCACTCTCCTTTCTGCTCTTGGTAGGAATGCATGGACTTTGGAGTAAGTTTTGTTTCCAAATGTGGCTTTGAATGTAGATTTGACCTTGGAAATGTTACTGAATTTCTCTCACCTCCTTTGATTTATCTGTAAAATGAGAATTCTGCCTGTCTTGCTAGGGGTTTGTGAGCTGTAAATGAATACTTATAAAGTATCCAGAATACTGTTGGCTCTTATTTGATGACTATTAAATAAAAGCTGTTGTTGTTACTGTCATCGTTTAATTAAGTCTAAATGTAGTATACATGGAAGGAAGAAGTGAGTGGTGACCTGGGGAGATGAAGAGATGATAAATGTCCCCTTTCTGCAGTGGAGAACCTCTGAATCATTTAAGTAGGGAGGTGACATACTCTGATTTGCTTTGTAAAAAGATCACGGTAGCATCAGAGGAAGACTGGTTTGGAGAGGAATGAGCCTAGAGGCAGGATGGTTTTTGCAGTAATAAGGGTTAGAAGTAATGGAAGCCATTCATATACCAGTTAGTAGCTGCAAAGATGTAGAGGAAAATGCTTTTGAAATATAGTTAGTTAGGAGGTAGAATCAGTAGTACTTGGTGCAAGGAGACCAAAAGAAAGCCAAAATATTCTTGAATATTTTGTGGATTTCTGGTTTTAAGCCATCATAATTGAATAGAAGAAGAGATTAATTTGTCACTTGAGGCCCTACAAGGAGCATTTAGGGGGAGAGCTCAGGAGAGAGGCTGAGCCAGAGAGGAGAGATTTGGGGCTCAAAGGAGAGCAGGAGGAAGTTGAACTAACAGAAATAGAGCAGGACCCCCTCGGGGGAGAGAGCACAGAGAGGCTAAAAGACAGTCACCTTCCACTGAGTTGAGAGCAGTGGAGTCCACAAAAGGGGTCTGAGTAGCAGAATGCTAGAAAGAAGCTGGGAGGGAGCGAGGCTGGAAAGTACTCATTGCAGTAGAGCCTGGAGCTCTTTGTGAATGGATATTGTGTGCGGAGTGTGAGCCAACTTCTAGAAAATTTGAAGAAGTAGAGTCATTCACTAGCCCCGGCCTGGAGAATGTTAGGTCTTCCACTGGAGGTGAGTGAGGCAGTACTACAGGTTCAGTTTCCAGGGAGGAAGAAGCAGTAAGGTGAGTGGCTGCTTGCCTGATGGCCTCTCAGTTCTCTGAGACGCTTGCTGCCTGCGGGGAGCTCAGAGTAAGGCAACAGGCAGAGGAACTGAGAAGGTGGTGAGGGAGGTTGGAATACTTGGGAGAAGAATTTCTGGTCATTGTTAGAGGGTCAAGAGGAGGTCTTTATTGCTGGACCCCCATTTCTCTTTGTCCTACACTTAGATTGTGCGTGTGCACGCTCATGTGTGTATATATCTTTGTATCTGTCAGACATCTGATTGGAGTCACAGAAAGGGATAATCTCATTATTTGGGACGCATGATAACTCTTCAATAAAATCATCTTAAATATATAGTCCAGCAGTTGTGTTAGTGGATCATGGTAGAAGTAATAGGTTGTTTTACGCTGTGGACATGGTATGAATAGGTGGACTAGATGGTCTTCACTCCAGTTCTGAAGTTTTATTCTACATATTTAGTACTTAATTTGTAAAATACACACTTTTTCAAAGATATAAACTTTTCTTTCTCAAAATATTTTGAATAGTAGTTTAAAACTTATTTCCTTAAAACCTGTAATTGGGCATCTCGCTAATTGGACTATTCTCTGCTCCCCTTCCAAGCAGTTTATGGTTGGCATTATAGCATCTACTCTCTCACCAAGATTGCTGTCATTCTTGGTAGCATCTGTCTAGGCCGACTAACTATACTGCTATGCCCTTCCTTCTCCAATAAAGCATTGTCTTTGTCATTTTCTTCTATATACTTCTAATTAATATGTTAATAGCCACCAGCATCAAATGCATTCTTATCACTTTTTTGACATGTTTAATGTACTTTTGCTGGCCCTGCTCTAAGCACTTTACAAATATTAACTCATCTACTCCTCATAATGACCCTGTGAAGTAGGGTCTGTTATCTTCATCTCTGTTTTACAAATGGACACGGAGGTGCCAAGAGGCAGGCTAAGCAGCTTGCCCAGCTCAAAGAGTTAGTTATGGCCAAGGCAGGTTCACCCATGGGATTGTGACTCCAGCGCCTGTCCTCTCACCTTCTGCTCCCCAGCGCACCATGGCTGTAGCATTTATGGAGAAGGACTGGAGCCCAAGGGGAAGAGTGTATATGTGCCAGACATACACATGTGCAAGCATACTGACTTTTTAGAATCATGGGACAACTAAATTAACGTCATATTATATGATATAATGCTAAGACTGCACTCTGTGCTGATTAAAAATATTTAACAAATTAGAACACACTTTTCTGTGAATGTGTCTCCGATGCTTCAGAGGCATTGCAGAATGTCACGCCATCCATGTTGCATGACACACACAGTAGTGCTGCACATTAGTATTGGTGCCTGGCTGGTCTCTTCCTTCTGCTTCACAGAACGGTTCAAAACAGAAACCAAAGTAGGAAAGCAACCCCAGAGTCCAGAGCTCTTTTGCTACAGGCTTCTAATTATTTCAGCTTTTTAGTGATGTGAATTTCAGATCCAGAGAAGTTTACATTATCTGAATCTTGTAGTCCTGACATTCAACACGAGGCACCCTGCACCTAAAAATCTTCATAACTTAATACCTAAGAGTTGTTTTCAATTTTGGAAACTGAGATGTAGTTCAAAAACTTGGTTGATGTTCCTCTGGCTAATTGAGGGCTTTGGCACACCAGCCATGAATTCTAGGAGGCTGTGCTCTGTGGGGCTGGTTTTGAGTTAACCCTGACCCTTAGGGACTGTTGTGTGCTCTGGGCTGTGCCTGTCCCTGGGCTCACAGGAGGGAGTTTCTTAGACTGTGAAGGGAGACTGTTTCCACCTGAGTGCATCTCATCTCCTCTCATTGACTCCAATGCTCATGCAGTTCCCATCACATTTTAATCTTGTGAAATTTCTGTGAGAAGGAATAGTTGAAACTACACAAAAAAAGAAGTGAGTTATTGTTGTCCTTTTGCTTCATGTTTGGGACTATACCTAAAATTACCCCGTGTCTCTGAAAATTCATTAACACATCAATTAATTACTGAATTTTGGTGTTAAACAGAGTATCTGTTGAGATTTTTGTTTGTTGTAGATTTTTGCACCCTTGAGGAAAATTTCATAAGACCTTTAATAGCTATATTACATTCTGAGTTTTTAGTGTGTCTTGTGTGCCTTAAATATGATTGCTATAAAAGCTTAAGAAGAGAAAGAATTTTTAGTGACTTTGGATTGTCTTAGTGAGAATGTTGTAATTAACTTGATGGATGTGAAAATGCCATTTTAAAATTGATATGCAAATTGTAACTTGATCTTTGCAAGTTTTCTTTGTGCCCTTTCCTTATGTAGGCACAGAACAGTGTGAACTTAAGAAGGAAAGACCAAGAACTGAATTTCCTGACTTTGGTGATTTCCTTTTGACCCACATGCTGTTTATATAAAACCAGTACTAGGGAGGGTTATAATGTTTCAGTAGTGCAGTGCCCTCTAGCCGTGATTTAAGGAACTGGATACTTCGAATAATGACTATTACCATTTTTTGTTTAGTTTTGAGGGGAGATTCTATTTATATCATTGTTTTTGTATGTCTTAGGCTATTGCATATTTTCACAATTTTATTACAAAGGAAGTCTTATTAAATCAGAAGTAAATTTTAAAGTGTGGAATAGGGCATTTGGTCTCTGATTAGCTTAAAGGCTTCCTTGTAAAGTGTGGACACTGAGGATTTTTTTGCAGTTTGGTACTTGAGGCAGACAATCTTATTATGCCTGAGGGATTATTTGATTATTGGTTGCTGGAAATGCCACTTGGACTGTCTACATAGTACCAGGCAAATGGGAACTTTTTTGGGTGATGTGATTGTTTTTTCCTTACTTGCTTTTGAACAAGAGTTATCTGGAGTAAAGTCTCCTAATCATATTGCCCACATATTGTCAAAAATCTACCTACTATTCAATTAGATGTCATCATTGTATTATTTAAATTCTGTTTTATTTACTAATACCTTTCAGAAGTAGTTCTCAGTTCTGAAGTTCTTTAAAAGAGCTCATATTTTATACATTTGTGAAAAAACAATCATAAGACTGAACAGGCACCACCTGACAGTCATTCATTGGTTGTATTTTCCAAAGTATCAGAAATCATCCCCCTTAAAATGTCTTTTGCTCCTAAAAAAGGAATACTTTTTTCTTTATAACTTTATTTCCTGAAATTCAAGTAGATTAACCAGGAGATCTAAATTTACATTGGTTGCATTTTCCATGGCCTCCAAATCAGCTGTACTCCAAGAATAGAGAAAATGGGTACAATTGTCTTTTGGCCTTGATCTCTATGCATATGCTGCCTTAATTAGAGGCTTTCACTGATGTACAGAGCAGTGAGTTTCTTGTTTTACACAGGCCCCAGGGCAGGTGATTTTTATGGACTCTGTAACACTCTTTGATGCTTGGTTGCAAAAGAGTACTGTTCTCCCACTGAAGGAGGCTTGGGGCTAGCAGTGGTTTTGGTGACTTTTACATGTGGAAGAACAAGGAGTTTCATTGTAGGAAGAGAGTATTTTTGTACTGTTCTTGCTGGTAGTATTAATATTTCTTGCTAACACATTTTTCCTCTGTGGTCCGATATTGAGTTTAAGGGGATGATGTTTTCTTGGAAGAATTTTGAGCTCCATTTAATTGTCTTTGTTTGTTGCCATTGTTTTCTAGCATCCTCCAGGACAAATAGCGAGGAAATACAGCTCCTGCTCCACTATTTTCCTAGATGATAGCACAGTCAGTCAACCAAACCTCAAGTATACAATTAAATGGTGGGTATTACACAGTTTTACTTAACTGAATGCTTTTTCTACTCCTTAACCTGACAGCTAATTGGTTGGTTGTGGGGTCTGAGAGTGGTAAGATTGGGCCGGAGAAAGCCATTAACTCTTCAGGAAATCTGTGAAAAAGTGACTTTGGTAGTTAAAATGTGGGGTGTTCAAAATATTTGTGCACATCACCAGTTACATAAAAGCAAATTTAAAAATTATTTCAAATGTAGATCAAAGTATATATTTGATTTCTTTGCATACTTCCTACCTTCCCACTTTTTTAAAAAGCCATGCTGGAGTAACTCTGCTAATATTTTACCTTTGAAAGAAAGCGGGGCTTCTGTGGTCCCCTTTAAGACTCGAGGCTACAGTAGAAACCAGGCCTGATAGTGAACAAGTATTTGCCCAGAGTCAAAAGATCTGAGTTCTGATACTGACTCTCTCAACAACAGGGAGGTAAGACCCTTCTCTTTGTAGCCTTGTTTTAAAGGGGGGTTTAAGGGAGGAAGGAGAGTCTTTGGATAAAATCCTTTCCCTTTTGGGCTTCAGTTTCCTAATGTTAAAATGGAAGATAAGAGGAAAGGAACACTGTTTTTTCTTTTATGTTTCTATTAGCATTGTGATAATAATGACCTTTGACAGAGAAAGGTCACAGAGAACCTATGTGCTGAGGTTTGTGGTCATCAGTTCAACTGCCAAAAACCTGGGGTATTTAATTTCTATATGTGCTTAAGAAATTACACATTTAACAACAGTCCAGGTTAGTATATGATTTAAATGTTTTAATTTCTAAATAAGAAGTATTCTTTCATTTTAGTGGCCTACGTTTTCAGACTTAGAAGCCCTATTCTGAGTGTGACCATATGTGACAATAAATCACAGCCTCAGTTAGGCAGCGTTGACTGTAGCAGTCTTCTGTGGACAGCATCCACACCAGGGGGTAGAGAGAGATGGAAGATGGAACCACCTTGAGGGAAGCTGCCTTCTCTCCTGAAGGGTTGCATGTTTTCTAAGATCTGAGTAGAAATGTAGCTTCTTCCCTTATTACCTTGGCTTTTAAGAAGGGCCTGATAAATGACAAGTGGGCATAAACCCAAACAGTCCATGATTTCAGCTGGGAAGAGGTATGCATGTCAGAGCTCCATAGTGTGTGACCTTGACTAAGCCACTTCCTGCCTTTGTGCCATGGCTTACTGCCAGGACATAGGAAGTACATTACCTCTTGGAAGTATTTTCTAGAGTAAATCACTAGTAGTTATGGAGAGGAGTAGAAAGCCCTGAAGGTCTGTGTACCATGTGGCTCCTGGCATCTGCACAAGTTCCAGAGAGCCCAGAACAGGAGCTGCTAACTTCTCTTTAATCCTGGGATCCTCTCTGACAGCAAGGGAGGCCAAGTGGAGCAGAGGGCACCTTTACTTAGGGCCGTCAGGAGCTCTTGGGTTTAAAAATTGATCCTACTCGCTAAACACTTTACCCTTGGGTAACTTAAAATTGCCACTGACTGTGATATAGACACTTGGGAGCCTAGTGGGGAAACTGGGTAACACCTGGATATGTCAGTGTCACCTAAGTTACAAATGTTCTGCTGTGCAAATCAGTGGTTCCAAGCCCTGGCTACACCCTGGCATCACCTGGGAGCTGAAAAGCATGCTGATATCAGCAGTTTAATGTCTCGCCATACAGCCCTGGTATCTGGATTTTTAATATCCTCCCTAGGAGATTGTAGTAGGCAGCCAAGGTTGAAAACTCCTGATGTAAGTGGACAGTTCTTCTCCCATCCCCCACTAAAGTTCCTTGAAACTTTTAAATTATAGACTAATACATGGAGGAAAAAGCTGAAAAGCTGTCCCAGTTAAATAGCAAACTGTTGAAACAAAACATTCAGTGTGGATACTATGACTTCCCTGATCCAGAAGACACTTCCTTTGCACTACCTTAACGTGAGAGTCCTTCAGTCAGTAGTTCATTTATTTTTAAAACTGCCTCCCCTACCCCCAAATGTGTATTTTGGGCCTTGGAGCAGGGTGGACCCTAACTGAAGTAGGAAGATCAGAATCCTTCCCTATAATCCTTCTCACTCTTGGCTGGGTTATAATGAAGGAGCTAAAGAGTAAAAAACATTTCAGGGTGTTAGCAGGCCTGGGTGAGCTTCAGCCAGGGTCTTTGAAGGTGTAAGGCGAAAGGGATACTCAGAAGGGAGACAAGAGTCCAAAAGTGGGGTAGGAAGAAGCTAAATCTGAATGCCTCCTGTTCTAAAATTGTGCCTAAAACTTATCTTGCACCCATCAAAAGGAAACCCCTATTTCCTTTTTTTTTTTTTTTTTTGCTTTTTCTGCTTTCCCTAAACCCAAGGCCTCTTCTTGGTCCCCTATCCCCAGACATTAAAAATACCAAAATCATTAATTTTTTAAATGTTTTTATTTATTTCTAAGAGAGAGAGAGAGAGACAGAGTGAGCAGGGGAGGGTCAGAGAGAGAGGGAGACACAGAGTCTGAAGCAGGCTTCAGGCTCTGAGCTAGCTGTCAGCACAGAGCCCAACGCGGGGCTCGAACCCACTAACTGAGATCATGACCTGAGCCGAAGTCGGATGCCCAACCGACTGAACCACCCAGGCGCCCCCCAAAATCATTAATATAGTTGAGCTTCATTGTGGACACGGTGAGTATCTTTGAGCTGAACTTCCTTCCTGAAAACCAAGTACGACCTTGTTTCTTTGAGAAAATCCTTTGAGTTCTAAGCATCGATTTCTAACCTAAATTTTAAAAGAAACCCCTTTAAGTTGTGGGCTGCCAAAATGAACACATGTATTTACAAATTCTAGTTGAGGAGTGCATGGAGGGCTGAGTGCTGTTCTAACAGTAAATGGAAAGTTGAAGTGTCAAAAGTTGGCACATTCTGTGCTCTTTCTTTTCATAGGCATGATTTCTGTTTTGACAGCTTGGATTTCCCCATCTTTCCCCTAAATGCCAACAGCTGTGGGACTGAATTTAGGGTTTGCTAACCACCCCCCCATGCCTCTGCAGCTGACCTCTGTCTCCCCTCCCGACCCCCCAGCCAGAATCCCCTACCGGACATAGGAATGGTGATGAAAGGGTCGGGGGCAGGCAGAGCCCCACTCACATGGCTGGCCAAATCATCTGTGGTCCTGGGCCTCTGAGGGTTGGACAGCAGCTGCTTGCCCACCTGCCTCCATCCTTGGCTCAGCTCCTCAGTGCTGGCAGAACCCACCAGCTCTTGGTCTTCAGAGGTTTTAGGCTTGTCACATGCTTTGCTGATTTAGCTCTAGGCTCCTACAAGTACAGTGCCAACAGTCACAAATCTGTTTTGCTTTCTTAGTCAAGAAAATAGCATTTCTTTATTCCCAGCTATGTGGAAAAGCAGTTGAGCCAACCCTTTGATCCAGATGTACTTCTGGTTTGGCTCTAGCCCATCTTTGTTGAACCCTCACCATTTTCTGAGTACGTGTCAGAACTGACTAGGCCTCCAAAGCCTGAAGTGTGGGACTGAAGCAGTTTTCAACTGACTGCCCTTTGCCCCTAGCAGTTACTTCTTCCAAGATGATCGACTAAACTGGCCTGTGTTACTGTACTGTATGTGAATTCTGAGCTTGGGTTTCTTACTTTTTGGTATATAACCTCAAGTGGAAATTGTCCTACAGTGTGGCTCTATTTTTCATCGAGGCCTAAGACAATGATAATGTCCAGTCTTGCAGTCAGCTCAGGAGATTTGGAGGATAGTGACCTTGGGGCCCTGAAGATTTTAACTCAATTTGTAGAAGGAAATTATGAGATGCTTGATATGAAATTATCGACAGGGGAATAACCATGATGATAATGACTTTTGTTTTGGAATTTTATGTTTGAAATAATCCTTTTGTATATTTCATTTGGTTATAATAACATCTCTGTGATATAGGTTGCATTGTCCTAATTTTATAGATGAAGAAATGTAGGCTCTGGGAGATGAATGAACTATAATAAATGAAGGATCCAGGTTTTAAACCCAGGTTGTTCCAACTTCCAGTCCAGGGATATTTTTCCTATATCACACTCCACACGGAGGAGGCAAGAACCACTATCTTTTTAATCAGTCAAAGTGAGTAAAGTAGTTACTACACCAAATCATATGAAACATCAGTCTAAATCTGACATTAGATTAGAAAGCAGTCATACAGCATGACTATTAAATGAATTAAGTGGTAATTTCAAACTTTTCCCCAAAGGCAAGTTGTTAGAACTAAATAGGGAGCAAAACCATTATACCATTCAGAAGTCCTGATGTCCAGTGTCTAAACCTGAATTTTTCTCATTTGTGAAATAGACTCAATAAGATCTGCTGCATTTAATATCAAGGCTGTTAGTGTATACTTGAAAACAGTATTATTATGGTTGGTGGTGGTGGTGGTGGTGGTGGTGGTGGTGGTGGTGGTGGTGGTGGTAGTAGTAGTAGTAGTAGTAGTAGTAGTAGTATTTAATTCTGAAGCCCTTTCACTCAAGTTACAATTCCTTCATTAGCTTAGATGCTCTTGAGTATGTTAGGATAAAGAGAATATATTGCCATTTGCTCATGAAGACTTTTAACACTTATCTGAAATTATTTGAATGAATAGATCTGGAGAGGGATTTGGAAGACTAGAGATTTCTTGTCTGTTGTCATGGGTAGTCATAGGTAAGCCTCTGAGCTATTTGAAATCCAGCGCTGAGCAAGCTGTGTGTAGGACTGAGCTCTCTACCTCCATGTCATGTCTGGATGGCAGTTTTTGTGCTCCAACTACCCAGAACACAATCTGATGCAGCCAGTTAGCAATATTCTTAGAAACTTAAAAAGTAAATTTTGGTCTCCTCAATAAATTTTAAAGTAAAACAAAAATAGTGGAATGATGTAGCCAGCTTACAAAAGAGGAAATTTTAAAAATTTGGCCAGTTAACCTGAATAACCCTGCCAGTTTGATAGGTGAAACTCAAATTGAAAACAAGTACACTTTACCTATCCAATTGGAGAACATTTTTTCAGAATATTCAAGGTGAGTGTCACCAAGTGTAAGGTCAAAACAGACACTGATGGGGAAGTACACTGGTACATTTTTTTCTGCAAAAATACTTGTCAGTGAATTTAGAGAGCCTTCAATTATTAATAACTTTAGATTGAGTTATTCCCATTACAGAATGTTTTCTTATGGAAATAATATAGTCATAGGTTGCACAAATACTTGTCTCTGAAAATATTAGTTTGGTATTATTTATAATTGAAAAATATTAGAAACAACTTAAATGTTCAATAGTAGGGGATTAGTTAATAAATTATTCAGTAACTATATAAATGGAATATAACCAGCCATTTAAAGTCCTGTTTTTCAAGTGGTAAGAAAAATATTAATGAGGGCAAAAGTAGGATATAAACCTATTTACACATATAATTAAGAGACAAACACAGATATCTGTATATCTCAAGTAGTCCTTTTTGGGCAGAGGGTTTACTTTTTTTTTACACTTTATATATTTTCCAGAAGTTCTACAATATGAATATAACACCTTTTAAATCAGAAAAGCATTCTTTGAAAAAAATATTCAGGGGAAGAGAGTGTCTTCATTAAATTCAGATCCTTTAAAATATAAATTGAAAATTTTAAGGTAGTGTTACAAATAGAATTTATAGTACTATTTTACCAAGTGAATGAGTAAGTTAGGTAGACTGCCAAGAGATTACTGATATAAGAGATAAAAACAGCAAACCACTGTGGGTGAAACTCATATTTTTGTGACAGTATAAATAAACCAAAAGTTTTCTAAACTAGGAGGTAATAAGTTGGAAATTTCTAAAGGTGCTTGATTTGCACTACCTGTTTTTTACATAGTGTCTATATTTTACAAATGAAGAAAGCTTAAAATTTCAAGTAGAAAGAGAATTTGTTTCTAAATACCTCTTGAAGTTTTGGTGTTTCTGGAAAAGATTTAATAATTGCTAGGATTAAGTACAAGATAGATTTACTTTGAAGAATGTGATTTCTTTTTAAAAGTGAATTTCTTGATTAGCATTCTGCTTTAATTGGGACTTTCGAGATTTGATTGTTTGACTTTTACTTAAATTTAGATATTTATGGTCAGACAGATAAAATATAACACTTTGGATACACTTATGAAACATTGAACCCTGCATTTTATTTTACAGTGTAGCTCTCGCAATATATTACCACATCAAAAACAGGTATGTAGATGATTAATTTTGTGCTACAAATATTATACATTTTCTCCTATTATGTTCTCTCTCTCTCTCTCTCTCTCTCTCCCTCCCTCCCTCCCTCCCTCCCTCCCTCCCCCTCCCTCCTTCTCTATTATATCTACTTGCTTCAGCCTTTATATTCTCTGGTTATGTTTTCATGACGTTTTTAGAGTTAGCATAATTTACCAAAACTTCCCAGGTAAGTGCCAAACTGCTTCTCAGAGGAAACCAAAGGGGGTGTTTGTTTGAAGCTAGCAAAACAGAACGCATCTTCTTGGTAATGCTCAACTTTCCTTTTCACTCTTCATTTCCTGTATAATTTGTTTAAACATTCTTTTATAAAATATTATTTTAAAAATTTACTATGTGCAACTTTAGCATGAGAAAAAATGCTTATAATTTTAGATCAATAGGAGAAATTATGGTATAAATTTATATATAAACTATTTTAATGTAGTAGAATCCTCTCTGATATAAGCAAGTCTGGAGACAATTTAGTTCACTGAAAAACTCAACTGAAACAGAAAATCACAGAAAAATAATTTTAAAAATTTAACTTAAACATTTTATCTCAACATAAAATGTGTAAAAAGTACATTCACTGTCATTTTTTAATGCAGCATCAAAACTTCTGTTTTGAGCATGGGCATTGGTTTGAGTACCAAAATGACTTTATTTCATAAGCCACACCTATAATTCATCCTTTCCATATTTTTTTAAATCAGTAGTGAGAAAACTTAAGACGTTTTTAAAATAATTTGAGTGTAGAATCTTTCAGGTTATGACCACACGTAATCTACAACAAATTTATTTTTAGTGATAACTTTTTATTGGGTGTTTCCAAAGCATTCCATCTTCATTTTCATGAGAATAGAGCCCCTCTCATTGCAGTCATATTTCATTGATTGATATACAACATTTTCATATGTTACATGAATATAACAATAAGTACAGCTGGTGTGAACCAATCCTGGAAACAAGAACAGCCACCTCATGGGTAGCATGGCTGTCAGTGGGTGGGAGCCACATCACCTTCAGTCTGCTTTACAAAGGGGACATTGTAGATTTGTGGTGAGTCAGAGAAGTGGAGCTTTGATGACAGAGCTTCTAATGAATGAACAATGTTATGGGAAAACACAAATACCTGGAAGCAAACACCTGGAAAGATATTCTCTGCAATCATCTTTTTCTGTATTGTAATTGCGATCCATAGTTCTTTATGGTGCTTGAGAATTTTGGTTGTAATAACTTAGAAAATAGAGCATAGTGGAACTTTGAACCTTGCCTGGAATAACATATCAGTTAAAGTACAGATTTTGTCTTGCTGCCTGTTTCTAAGAGAACAGTTCAGACTTTCAAACATTTAAGTCTTACATAATACTTTAATACCACTAGTGAAACTTGATTGTGTTCTCGAATCAATTTTGTATTAGCATCTCTAAGTGATTTCTCAGTTCTTTGACTGTTATGCATCTCAAAGTTAATTTATAGCCACAGCTGGAAATAATAAGATCCAGCTTTATTAAGTATTTACTCTGGCCACCTGTTTATACGCATTAGCTCATTTAGTTTATAAAACAGTTCCATGAGGTGATACTGATATTATCTCCATTTATCTTAGTAAAAAAGCTAAGGCACAGAGAAATTAAATAATTTGCTTACAATTGCAAAGCTAATAAATTGGGGAATTGGGGATTGAACCCAAGCAATATACTGAGACATTTAATCATATAATCTACTGGGTTAATGGTGATAAAATGGACCAAAAGTTAGTGAGTAAGAAGTGGAGAAAATCCAACTAAAACCAGCGAGTGTTTGTCAACAGGTTTGATAAATGCACAGATTGTAACATGAAAGTCTTTGGGAAGAGGTGGCACGAGTATGCAGACCTTTTTCTTGATATATCATATTGGCCGAACCCCTGGAGCTGATGATAGATCCAGTAGCATGATAGAGAGGGTGCTGACAGCTGGGGTACATAGCTTTCAATGAAAGTGAGAGGAAAATCCATTTCTCAGAGAGGTCAGTTTTTTTTTTCCCTGAGTCATTTTAGCTTAAATTTTTATTCCTCATTTTATATTTTGATCCTATATTTTTATTTTTAAAGTTACTTCTGGTGAATATTTCTGTAGAATGCTGAATGGCTTTTTAGGGTCTTTCATTCATCAGAAATCTTGAACAGGACTGAACTGCCCAAGGGAATGGGATGCAGGGCCAGGCTTTGTCTCTCACACAGAGGCTGTTTGTGAGATGAGAGACCAGCTGATTCTTCATAGCAAAGTTATTATAAAAGAAAGTGTAACTAGGTGCACCCAGAAGGAGCTGTCTTTATGTTTTCAGACCCAATTAGCAGGTCCTGCCTAGTTCAACCTTTCTTTTATTTAGGCTTATCTAAACTTTGTTGCCTGTCTTCCTGTAGGCTAGTGAAAATGAGCACAGGTATGAATGCCCAAACTTTAAAAATAATTTCTGTTGTGTAAACATAGTAATGAAAACTAAGTTGTTGTTAAGCTCCTTCTTCCTGTCTTATTTTTATATAGACAGTGAATTTGTAGAGCAGAAATTGTAGTGTTTGCCATAAAGTGTGTATGTTAGGGAGAGGTCTGTACCCTTCTGATATTCACACGCCTAATCGGCATTGGAAGCACAAACTGTGGAAATTATATGATTTACTAAAAGCAGTGGTTTCCAAATTTGGTTTTTAAAGAACAGTTTTTAGGCAGAAGGCAAATGACGTTAAACAGATGACAGTAGAGCTGTTGCTGGTGATGTGCAGTTGGTGCCTGCAGAGCCCTGCACAAGGCACTGTGCCTACAGGGAAAGCCACCACTTACTGTTTTTCTTTCATAGTTTATTGTCAAGTTGGTTTCCATACAACACCCAGTGCTCATCCCCACAAGTGCCCTCTTCCATGCACATCTCCCCCCTCCCCCCCCATCAGTCCTCAGTTTGTTCTCATCATTCAAGAGTCTCTCACGGTTTGCCTCCCTCCCTCTCTCCAACTATTTTTCCCCTTCTTCTCCCTCACGGTCCTTTGTTAAGTTCCCCCTAACCACCTATACGTGCAAACATGGTATCTGTCCTTCTCTGCCTGACTTATTTCACTCAGCATAACAACCCCAAGTTCCATCCACGTTGCTACACATGGCCAGATTTCATCCTTTCTCATTGCCATGTAGTATTCCATTGTAGAGATAAACCACATCTTCTTGATCCATTCGTCAGTTGATGGACCCTTAGGCTCTTTCTGTGATTTGGCTATTGTTGAGAGTGCTGCTATGAACATTGAGGTACATGTGCTCCTATGCATCAGCACTCCTGTATCCATCCCTTGGGTAAATTCCTAGCAGTGCTGTTGCTGGGTCATACGGGAGTTCTATTGTAACTTTTTGAGGAACCTTCACACTGTTTTCCAGAGGGGCTGCCCCAGTTTACATTCCCAACAACTGTGTAGGAGGGTGCCCGTTTCTCCACATCCTCACCAGCATCTAGAGTCTCCTGGTTTGTTCATTTTAGCCACTCTGAGCGGCGTGAGGTGGTATCTCAGTGTGGTTTTGATCTGCATTTCCCTGATGAGGAGGGACGCTGAGCATCGTTTCATGTGTCTGTTGGCCATCGGGATGTCCTCTTTGGAGAAGTGTCTGTTCATATCTTCTGCCCATTTCTTCACTGGATTATTTGTTTTCTGGGTGTGGAGTTTGGTGAGTTCCTTATAGATTTTGGATACTAGCCCTTTATCTGATATGTCATTTGCAACTATCTTTTCCCATTCTGTTGGTTGCCTATTAGTTTTGTGGGTTGTTTCCTTTGCCGTGCAGAAGGTTTTTATCTTGATGAGGTCCCAATAGTTCATTTTTGCTCTTGATTCCCTTGCCTTTGAGGATGTGTCAAGTAAGAAATTGCTGCGGTGAAGGTCAAGGAGGTTGTTTCCTGCTTTCTCTTCTAGGCTTTTGATGGTTTCCTGTCTCACATTCAGGTCCTTTATCCATTTTGAGTTTATGTTTGTGTATGGTGTGAGAAATGATCTAGTTTCATTCTTCTGCATATTGCTGTCCAGTTCTCCCAGCACTGTCTGTTAAAGAGGCTGTCTTTTTTCCATTGGATACTCTTTCCCGCTCTGTCAAAGATTAGTTGGCCGTACATTTGTGGGTCCAATTCTGAGTTCTCTATTCTAGTCCTTTGGTCCCTGTGTCTGTTTTTGTGCCAATACCATGGTGTCTTGATGATGACAGCTCTAGTAGAGGCTAAAGTCTGGGATGGTGATGCCTCTCGTGTTGGTTTTCTTCATCAGTATTACTTTGGCTATTTGAGGTCTTTTGTGATTCCATACAAATTGTAGGATAGTTTGTTCTAGCTTTAAGAAGAATGCTGGTGCAATTTGATTGGGATTGCATTGAATGTGTAGATTGCTTTGGGTAATAATGACATTTTAACAATATTTATTCTTCTGATCCATGAGCATGGAATGTTTTTCCATTTCTTTGTGTCTTCTTCAGTTTCCTTCATACGTTTTTCTATACTTTTCATCATACAGGTCTCTTATATCTTTAGTTAGGTTTATTCCTAGGTATTTTATGTTTGTGTGTGTGTGTATGCAATTGTGAATGGGATCAGTTTCTTGATTTCTCTTTCTGTTGCTTCCTTATAGGTGTATACAAATGCAAATGATATCTGTACATTGATTTTGTACCCTGCAACTTTGCTGAATTCATGGATCAGTTCTAGTAGGCTTCTGGTGGAGTCTGTCGGGTTTTGTATGTAGAGTATCATGTCGTCTGCGAAAAGTGAAAGTTTGACTTCTTATTTACCAATTCTGATGCCTTTTATTTCCTTTTGTTGTCTGATGGCTGATGCTAGGACCTCCAGCACTATGTTAAACCACAGTGGTGAGAGTGGACATCCCTGTCGTGTTCCTGATCTCAGGGGGAAAGCTCTCAGTTTTTCCCCATTGAGGATGATGTTAGCTGAGGGCTTCTCATTAATGGCTTTCATGATGTTTAAGTAATTTCCTTCTATCCCGACTTTCTTGAGGGTATTTATTAAGGAGGGATGCTGCATTTTGTCAAATGCTTTTTCTGTATCTATCGACAGGACCATATGTTTTTATCTTTTGTTAATGTGATACATCACATTGATTGATTTGCGAATATTGAACCAGCCCTATATCCCAAGAATGAATACAACTTGATCATGGTGGATAATTCTTCTTATGTGCTGTTGAATTCAATTTGGAAGTATCTTGTTGAGGATTTTTGCATCTGTATTCATCAAGGATATTGGCCTGTTCTCTTTTTTTGCTGGGTTTCTGTCTGGCTTGGGAATCAAAGTGATGCTGGCTTCATAGAATGAGTCCAGAAGGTTTCCTTCCATTAATGTTTTTTGGAATAGCTTGAGAAGAATGGGTATTAACTCTGTTTTAAATGTCTGGTAGAATTCCCCAGGGAAGCCATCTGTCCCAGGGCTCTTATTTGTTGGGAGATTTTTGATAAGTGATTGAATTTCTTCACTAGTTATGGGTCTGTTCAGATTTTCTCTCTCTTCCCGTGTGAATTTTGGTAGTGAGTGTGTGTTTAGGAATTTGTCCATTTCTTCTAAGTTGTCCAGTTTGTTGGCATATACTTTTTCATAGTATTCCTTGATAACTGCTTGTTTTTTTGAGGGGTTGGTTGTAATAAGTCCATTTTCATTCATGATTTTGTCTATTTGGGTACTCTCTTTTCTTTTTGAGAAGCCTGGCTAGAGGTTTGTCAATTTTGCTTGTTTTCAAAAAATCAACTCTTGGTTTCATTGATGTGTTCAGCTTTTTTTTTTAGATTCTATATTGTTTACTTCCGCCCTGATTTTTATTATTCCTCTTCTTCTACTGGGTTTGGGGTGCACTTTTTGCTCTCCTTCTAGTTCCTTTAGGCATGCTGTTAGATTTTGTATTTGCAGTTTTTCTAATTTCTTGAAATAGGCCTGGAGTGCAATGTACTTTCCTCTTAGGACTGCCTTTGCTGAATCCCATAGAGTTTGGATTATTGTATTTTCATTTTCATTTGTTTCCATATATTTTTTAATTTCTTCTCTAATTGCCTGATTGGCCCATTCGTTCTTTAGTAGAGTGTTCTTTGACCTCCAGTTAAAGAAGTTTTCCAGACTTTTTCCTGTGATTGATTTCACATTTCATAGCATTGTGATCTGAAAGTGTGCATGGTATGATCTCAAGTCTTTTATATTTATTGAGGGCTGCTTTATGACCCAGTATGTGATCTATCTTGGAGAATGTGCCATGCGCACTTGAGAAGAAAGTCAATTCCATGGCCTCAGGATGTAGAGTTCTAAATATATCTGTCAAATCCATCTGCTCCAATGTGTTATTCAAGTCCATTGTTTCTTTAGTGATTTTCTGTTTAGTTGATCTATCCATTGCTGTAATTGGAGTATTAAAGTCCCTTGCTATCATCACATTCTTATCCATAAGATTGTTTCTGTTTGTGATTAATTGTTTTATGTATTTGGGTGCTTCCATATTTGGTGTATAGACATTTATAATTGTTAGCTCTTCCTGATGGATAGACCCTGTAATTATTATATAATACCCTTCTTCATCCCTTGTTACTGCCTTTACTTTAAAATCCAGGGCGTCTGATATAAGTATGGCTACCCCAGCTTTCTTTTGACTTCCTGTAGCGTGATAGATATTTCTCCATCCCCTTACTTTCAATCTGAAGGTGTCCACAGGTCTAAAATGAGTCTCTTGTAGACAACAATAGAGGGATTTTGTTTTTTTATCCATTCTGCTACCCTATGTCTTTTGATTGGAGCATTTAGTCCATTTACATTCATTGCTATTATTGAAAAATACGGGTTTAGAAGTCATTGTGTTCTTTGTAGGATTCATGCTTGTGGTGGTGTCTCTGGTACCTTGTGTTAACACCTTGCAACATTTCCCTCAGAGAGTCCCCCTCAGGATTTCTTGTAGGGCTGGTTTAGTGGTGATGAATTCTTTCAATTTTTGTTTATTTGAGAAGACTTTTATCTCTCCTTCTATTCTGAATGACAGGCTTGCTGGATAGAGGATTCTTGGCTGCATATTTTTTCTGTTCATCACATTGAAAATTTCCTGCCATTCCTTTCTGGCCTGCCAAGTTTCAGTAGATAGGTCTGTCACCACGCTGATAGGTTTCCCTTAGTATGTTAGGCCCCTTTTATCCCTACCTAGGAAAGCCACCACTTTAAATGGCATTTACTGGCCTGGTAAAAAATGAGCCATTCTTTTATAGATTTATAGGTTTTCTATGTGTCACCTCTTGTTTTTCAATATAAAAGTTTGAAACTTAATGAAGTGTTTAAGTTGCATGTTATAAAAACTCCAGATTAGTTTCTAGGACACACTGAATGTTCATTTTTACCCTTGAACTTCTTTCCTATCAACTACAACATAGTAATGGTTTAAGCATATCCATCAGCCTTTGCTCAGAAACAAGATGCTTATAGAAGTTTATCACTTGCTTAGATTTGGTTCTTTTGAAAATCTAGATTTGTTTTTCACTTAGGTTAATTCAACTAAATGTGATTCATAACCTTTATTTCATAGGCAGCTCATACAAAAATGATTAAATATTGTACACAAGAAAAATTATTACTTATGGATAGCCAATAGCATCTCCTACATTTAACACTGACTTCACTTTCGTGAAACACATTAAATCAAAATGTATTTTTATTTTATTTTGAATGACATTCTTATAGAAAGTAAACTCTATTTTCTCTTATTTTCCCCACCAGGGACCCAGATGGAAGGATGCTCTTAGATATTTTTGATGAAAACCTTCACCCTCTTTCGGTAACCTCCTCCTTCTGATGTTGTTTAATTATTTCTCTTCTGTTTTTATTGAGTGGCCAGTCATTGAAATTATTTCCTTCTCCAGAAATCCGAAGTGCCACCAGATTATGACAAACACAACCCAGAGCAGAAGCAGATTTACCGGTTTGTTCGGACACTGTTCAGTGCTGCTCAGCTGACGGCCGAATGTGCCATTGTCACCCTGGTGAGTGCCTTCACGATGACACAGCAATTCTGTAGTCCATTGGGGTGGGGGGGCAAGCAGTATGTCTCACTATGTGCCCTGGGGAAACCACATCTTCGCCTTCAAGGTTGTCTTTTTTTTTGGGGGGGGGTGTGTCTAGGAGAGTAGAGAATGGATCTCCCAAAAGAGGGAATGAAGTCTGTTCCATAGTCACCACCTAAAGTCAGTTGTAAAATCACATTCAAAACAGGTCAGTGTCAAAATGTTAAATAGGTAAATAAAACCTTGGGCTAAAGAGGAATAAAAGCCACTCGCTCCCTGCTAACATCCAGGTTTCCTGTCGTTGATTCCCTATGATTGTTTTCATGACATGAGTAAGAGATGTACGGATACATCCTATATGAATGCCTGCTATATATTGTGCTGTATATTACTGCCTTCTCTTTTGTGATTTTTGTGACAATAATGTATCTGTGAGATACTCAAAGACAACTTGCAGGTAATCTGCACCCATTCAAATAAGAGAGAAAAATCTATGATCTTACTTAGAGTCTTAAAACTTCAGTGGCTATTTAGGTCCAATCTCATTTGGGAAATAGATTTCATGGTGGAATCCATTCTCACTGACCTTTACATTGTGTGCAACTCAGTTAAGAAGTTAGCTCTGCCTATGAATGAGCCATCCCAGAGGAAGATCAGAAAGCCATTCCTTGTTGTTTCTGAGAAGAGATTATTGTCTAATAGAAAGTTTGCAGGCCACCCAAGGACCTTTGTATCTCTGCCACACTAAGAGCTTTGTGTTCTTCAGCTAATTCAACAGTAAACCTGTTTGTTTATTCATCTATTTGTTTGTTGACTCTTTCTCTCACTGAACTTACCACCTACTGCGTAAAACAGACATTTACTAAGTAATTTCTGGGTGATTTAGAATGATTCTAGGTTTTTCTGCCATGTCTGAGAAGTATATTTATTGCTTAGCTTTGTTCCCCCAAAGGATTTCAAATTCTTAAAAAACAAACAGCAGGGAAACAGGGTTGAAATTGTTGTAAAGGGAAATGGTGATGAAGAGAAAAGAAGGGTGAGAAAACCAGATGAAACTATGGATGAGATTAGTACTAAATTTCATGCCATGAAGAAAGATTTATCTTGAAGCTGCTACAGATGGAATGTGGTGGGCATATTTTACCTTTAATTCGTACAAAAATTATGACCTGACTCTGACCTGATTGTTAAGAGAAGGTTAGTGTCCTGTGGAGGACACAGGACTGAGATCTTAGTCCCTGCCGCTCCCCAGTTTCAGCCCAGATATTGAGAGAACATCTAAGGTGTGTCCTGTCTCCGGGGTCACTGGGATGATTGGTTAGTTCATGTCTTTGGAGAACTATACAAGTGGTACATTTTTGTCAGTAATTGTAACTACTGACATCTTCACTTGTCCTGTTAGATAAACTGGTGGCCTAGCAGGAGATTAGCTTGTACTGGGGTCTTGATAGTTACAATTCAAAGATGAGCAGCTTTGGGGTCCCACATAGTGGGCACGGCACTGCAGACTGAATCTCTGGCTGCCACTGCTGTGACTGGGAGTCAGCCAGCACTTGGGGGCAGAAGGCAGATGGATACATGCTCTGAGCAAGACCCTTGTATGAGAATTCTTCCCTTCTCTGTGTCCCTTGGAATTAGAAGCAGCCATTTAAAACAGGTTCAGTCTAGAGTTGACAGAGCTGCATTAATCTCTACTTTTCTCCTGGGCATTCTCTTGGTGTCTTGGCATGCCACCCAGGAGGAAGCGGGTAGTGGGGGAAGGGCAGCAGTTTGCTCTGACCCTGCTGCCCAAGAGGAACAGAACTACAGCCTGCCTGTGGTAAGAGGGCTTCCAGGACCTTCAAATACCCAGAGTGAGTTATAACTCAAAGCAAATATTTCACAGCTTCATTAACTTTGTCTTGAAAGAGTAACAATAACTAAATTAACACTAAGTATATTATTTAGCCTTGCAGAATATTCTAAAACCTCTGTTATTGATACACATGAGGATATTAAAAAGAGAATGAGGTAATTGATATTGCACCTTGATGATCTCTGATGTTTTCACATATGGGCACTGTGTAATATTCCCAACAACAGCTGTGGGAAGCCAGGGTTGGATGGAAGGCCGTGATGTCCAACTGCCCCTCCATATGTCCCATCCTTTCCCTCAGGACTTCTTGGAGCTGGGTTATACTTAGAGCCATGAACAGACAGTTTTTTTAGTCCCATGTGTGGTACCTGGATAACAAACTGTATAGCTCCCTGTCTAAGCCAAGGATTTTGATTGTGAGGATGAGAAACCCACACAAAGAGGCCAAGGTAGGAGATTTATTGGAAGGCTCAGGAGTCCCATACATGCCTGTTCTCGCCCTATAATGAGATCAACAGCAGGTTGATCTCTCTGGGGCTGCCTTTTCTTGCCTCTGCTCTGCCCTTTGAGTCTACAGTATTAAATTCCAGGCTGGCTTCTGTTCGGATGTATGTGGCCAGGAAGTAGCTATCCTAACCCTGACTCTCCATCACTTTTTCATATAAGGCCTAACACTGGCTAAATCAACCTCTGGTATTTAGTTCAGATTTTGGAGAGCTGATGAATTTTGATGGACTTCATCAGTGATTGGCTCAGTTTCTTTGGGTCAGTTGTTTTCCCTTGGAACAGTCAGTCATGACTCAGAGCTGATAAGAGAAAGGGGCCCAGGGCTCTGTCCTGGTCAGTTGTTTTTCTCACTCTGTACTTTACTTTGCTCGAAGTCTCCAGTGCTTCTGCATCTTCCTCTGAGGAAGACAAAGAGAAGGCCCTTACATGACCTGTAGTAGGATTAGGCCACCTTTCATCTCAACTCAACTGCCACCACTTTCCCATCTGGGCCTCTTGGTCTTTCCTGCACATACCAGTACTTGCCTTGGGTCTTGGGCACTTGACACCATCTGGGCCTGGAATCCTCTTTCAGGGATGTGCAAGTGGCACCTCCCTGGCCTCCTTCAAGTCTTTGCTCAAAGGGCAGTTCTGTGAGGCCATCATACTTTGAATTGTAACATCCTTCCTCCCCCCCACATTCCCTTCTCATCATTTCCTGCTTTCTTTTTCTTCATAGCACTTATCACCAGTTAACATTCTTTAGGTTTTTACTCATTTGTCTTGTTTTGTTTATAAGTTCCATGATTAAGAGTTTCTTTTTAATTTTTTTAAATCTTTCTTGTTCACTGCAATATGACCAGCATCTGGAACACAGCCGGGTACCAAATAAATATTTATTAAATGTCAGAGTAAGTATAGTAATAACTACCTACTGCTGAAGTAAATCAAAGTGGTGTTGATGTACCTCACACTTTGCCTGAAACACAGGGAGTATTCAGTAGCTATTTGCTGTAGTCTTCCCGTTCCCTAGAAGTTTGTAACTTTAACCGCTATTCTCCTGTTTCACTGCTTACATTATTAAGGTAAGCTTTCTGAAGGGAGCATGGCAAAATCTTTGGCTCTGGAGACATTTCCCAGCCAACCCCGTGATTGAGTGTTGTCTGCAACGTTGGTTCTCTCTGGAGAGTGGCAGTGATGGGTTATGGGAGGGAGAGAAGAAGTTAGTAGCTGAAAGAGAGGAGTGAGATGTAAAGAAAGGGGGCAGTGAGAAGAAATGGAACTAATGGAACAACTATGGAACTAACCAGATGGAAGGAGATGTATTACCTTTTTATTAATTCCTTATTTTTTATAGCTTTATTGAGATCTAGTTTAACTTACCATAAAATCCATTCATTTAAAGTGAGCACTTCAGTGGGTTTTTTGTATCTTGTGCAACCATCACCACAACCTAATTTTAGAATATTTTCATCACCCCATAAAGAAACCCTTTAGCAACCACTGATCTAGGCTCAGGTAAACACTAATCTGTTTTTTTCTCAAGAGATCTGCCTATTCTAGACATTTTATAGAATACATTCATATAATATGTGGTCTTTTGTGACTGGCTTTTCACTTAACTGTAATGTTTTCAGATGTTGGCTGTGTTGTAACATGTAGAGTATTTCATTTTATTTATTTATTCATTCATCAAGTTGACACATAAGAGTTTCTATTTTTTAGCAATTATAAATAATGCTGCTCTGAACATTTGTGTACATGTTTTTGAGTAGGCATATATTTTAATTTCTCCTGGTATATACCTATGAGTGGAATTGCTGGGTCATATGGTAACTGTTTAATATTTTGAGGAACAGTCTGTTTACCAGTATGATAGCACCATATTACATCCTCATTGACAATGTTAGGAGAGTTCCATGTTTTCCACATTACATCCTCACCAACACTTGTTGTTGTCATTTTGATTTTAGTCATTCTAGTAGGTGTCCAAATCTCTATTTTTTATTTGCGTTTCCTTAATGATTAATAATGTTGAGCATCATTTTATGTGTTTATTGCCCATTTGTAGATCTTCTTTGGAGAAATGTCTATCCAGATTCTTTGCCAATTTTTAAATTGGGTTGTCTTTTTATTATTAACTTCTAAGAGTTCTTTATGTGTTCTGGCTTATAAGTCACTTGTCAGGTAATGATTCACAAGTATTTTCCCCTATTATCTTGTCATTTCACTCTTAAAGGTATCATTTACAACATAGGTTTTCGTTTTCATAAAGCCCAATTCATATATATTTTTTCTTTTATCTCTTGTGCTTTTGGTGTTCTATCTAAAAAAATATTGGATAGCTCAGGGTGATGTGATTTACTCCTATTTTTTTCTTTTAGGAGTTATGTAATTTGAAGCCTTATATTTAGGTATATGATACTTTTTTAACTTGTTTTTGTGAGGTAGGGGCCAAATTCATTCTTTTGCTGTGGATATCCAGTTTCCCTCTTGCCATTTGTTGAAGAGACTTTCCTTTCCTCTTTGGATTGTTTTGTCACTCTTGTCAAAAATCAATCATAAATGTGCAAGTTTATTTCTGGACTTTCAATTTTATTCCATTGATCTATAGTTCCTTATGTCTATACCACACTGT